TAATATATAACATGGTAACAAATAAGTGAAAATGTTGGCCTGCGAGGAGCATGGCGTGTTTTGTGACATATTTCAATAAAGAGACGTATGAACGACTGTATAAAATATGTAACCATATTTTCACAGAATGAAATTAGTCAGGGTCACAATGCCTTAAAACTAGATTAACAAGTTTTTAATCAAACAAACTCACTTGTCAATCAACACAGGCAACTGAATTAAAGACAATAGCCTGTTAGCCAGATAGCAGCCTGTTAGCTAAGCTAGCACACTGTTACAGCCTCTCTGAAAGCCACCACGAAAGTTACATTCTTTATAATCCTGGCAAATTTTGGACCAAAGTATTACAGAGGGGAGGAGTTTCGCAGGCACATCGGACACCACAGAGATTCCCATATGAGTGTACTTCCTGTTGACTCGTCTCCGGACACATACATAAGTGAAAATGAGGCATTAGTGTTTAGTCTGCCAGAAAGCCGCAAAGAAGGAAGAAAATCTTATCACCATACCTGCTCGCACCCTCAGATCCTCCTCTTCTATTCACCTCACTGTCCCCTCCGTTCGCCTCACTACCATGGGGGGCAGAGCATTCAGCCGCTCTGCTCCCCAACTCTGGAATGCACTCCACCCTGACCTCCAAAATATTGATTCACTACCACACTTTAAATCGAGGCCGAAAACTCACCTGTTCAGGCTCTCCTTCTCTCTTAGAGTGGGTAGATGTTTGTTTGTTTTGTTTGCTTTTTAAACTGATATTTGTTTGTTTGTTTGTTTGTTGTAAAATGTTTAATTATCTTGTACTTTGTATTTTATTGTATTTTACTCTGTAAGGCAACCTTGAGTGTCATGAAAGGCGCCCAGAAATAAAATGTATTATTAATATTAAGATCTGTTTTGATTTGGAGCAGAACCACTGAGCGGAGCTTACAGTAGTGATGGTCAAATGAAGCCTCATGAACCATTTGCCACCAGATGGCACTCTTGATTTAAAGATAAAGGCTGAAGGACTGCGATGAAATGTGTTTTCGAACCTTTGTTGAACAGACAGTGCCATCTAGTGGCTTCAGAAAATAAAGACAGTGGTTCATGAGGCTTCATTTTGCTTTCACTACTTACAAGTGGAGTGGTGACAAGAAGTCTCTGGGGATTCAGGCCACACTGTTCTCATTACTTGTTGTGGCTTCTAAAAGAGCTTTATTCTAATCTATAAACAGGAATAAGAGACAGTGCGGTGTTAGTAATTAAAGTAGGTTATCGTAGTGGAGACAATAATGGTAAATTAAAAATGTGCCCACACGTGCGTCAGCAAAGACACCATATGACACAACAACAGCTAAATACGTTCACAATCTCACTGATTGTGAAGTCACTTTGAATTCTGAGAGCAACAATGCTTAGATTTTATTTTAGGTCATAAAACCTTTTAGAAAAGCTTTGAAAAACTGAGTGCTATTGGTTTTGAAACCATGAAACATGCAGTGCAGAAGCAGAGAGAAGTTGCAGTACCACAATAAAACCACCAGGGGGTGCTCTTTATGTGTTACCAGACTAGTAGTGTGAATGAAGTGAGTGCAGAAATTAAACAAAGAAAGTGCTTTATTTTAAAAGAGTGGTGAACATTAAAAAGAACAGCTTTAAAAAAAAAATCATACAAAAATTTAAGTTACATAATTTATACAAAAATCTGGAATTAAGTGGAGAATCAATACTTTATCACAATTACATAGCAGTTTTAAATAAAGGAATCTCCATATGTACAACCCCAGCTGTCAATACTTTATTGTGCTGTAGACATTACAATATGCAATGCATGATTTAAGTCAAGGTAATGTGCTGCATGCTTCACCAAGGCGAAACTACAACAAATAAATTAAACTGGGGATCAAAACTCTGTGGTGACAATCGTCAAACAACCCGGACGTGTGCCAGTTTGGCTCTTCAGTTGTCGCACCAAAAGCATTTACTTATATTACAGATGGAGATTTGAGGCCTGCATTTGTGAAGAGTCACTTTAACATCAGTTGAGCAGGAAAAACGGGAGAAATTTAATGTCAAAGTGAATAAAATACATGCCAAAATTTCACGGAATGTATTTCAACAAGTAGGCTATGTTTTCTGTAGTGTACAGTTACATGACAATAAGAATCATTGTGTTTTTGTTTCTTAAAATGAGCGAGTGTCTGTCCACGGAGTCGGCCATGTTGCACCACCACTGATTCTGCAGTAGCCCGGTATGAACAAACCAAACACTATCTCTAGATAGCGACACTGGAATTGGCCCTATAGTTAGCAGCCCATCTGTGATGAGCAATTTTGGAGGAAATACTTTTTTTTTTTAAGGTAAAACTGCTTTCTGCAGTGTTTTTACCAGTTTAAATCACTGGTCTGTTTGTTTTGGGGAGGAGGAGACCAGCTCCCAGTAAAAACCTCCCGAACAATGAACACCAAAGGAATTCTAACCAAGAGACACCACTAGATGCCACTAACACAAAAAGTTTGAAATCTGGGAAATACGTTTATTTGCTCTGTTACCCAGAACTAGATGAGACTGATACCACTCTCATGTCTGTATGGCAAATATGTAGCACCCAGTTAGCTTAGCATGAAGACTGGAAACAGAGGGAAACAGCGAGCATAGCTCTGTCCAAAGTCCACCTAGCAGCACCTCTAAAAAAATAGCTAAAATTAACAAGTGTTTAAATGTATTTTCAAATACAGAGTTGTATTTTTGTAATAAAATAGCAAGCTAGCTGAAAAGCTGATGAAGTAATTTTTCAATCTCTTCTGAGCAAATTAAAGTTCCTACGGATTTCAAATTCATCCCTGTTTTATGTTTATAACTGAGCTCAGGTATGAAGGATAGAGAGAGCTGATTTTCTTATACACAACCATGTTTTAACTAGAAGTACAAAACACGGGTTTGTTCACCAAAATGATAAAAATTAGATACTGCACTTACTGCTCATGGTGTCTACTAGTGATGGCCAAATAAAGGCTAATATAGACCCCACTAGATGGTGGGCTTGGTTTAAATAAAAAGGCTCAAGGAATGACAATTCTTCCAACACAGAGAGCGCCATGAGGCTTCATTTGACCATCACTAGTATCTAGCCATGCAGATAGTTTCATTTTCCTGCTTTGTGTTTAGTCTGACTCTTCTGTTAAATTTTCCAGGAGGAAGAAGCGATTATTAGACAAGGAATTTTGACGCTGAAGCTTGAACTTCGGACGGGGCCGAGCACAAGTATCGCTCATTGAACGGCCAATACTTTCGAGCTTTTTCACTTTAGTGCTGGCTGAAGTAGTGCTGGGGGGCTCTGGGAAGTTTAAAATAGGGCAGCTGTATCGACGGGCTTTGCTGGTTGGGCAGCTGGGTAGTGAGAAGCTGTTTTGCCGTGAGATGCCGCGTTTCCGCCCCTTGATCCGGGGTATGTTGCCGGATTTTGGAGGGCTGTTGATGGTTGAGGCTGGAGGACCGTGGAGAGTCGTTGGCTGGTCGTACTGGCAAACAGCCGCACTTAGCTGGGGATTGTTGTTGTTCTGTAGCTGGCGGATGGTCTCGTCTTTCTCGTGAAGCTTTGAGTTGAGGTCGGCCACCTGTTTTGTCAGCATCTCAATGGTTTGAGATTGGTTTCCCACGTCGTTGGCCTTGACAACCTTGACGCTTTTCAGGAACACCTCGGTTTCAGAGGTGCCACTTAATGTGCTTTCATCTGATGACTGTCTGGACATTGGCGATTTTGATTCCTCTGCTATGTGAACACATAAAAAAAAGACACAATGCACCATTAGTATGCACAACCATTAGCAACCCAATTGCCCAAAATAAACGTTGGCATAGTACATTTTCTGAAATCTGTGAATAGGCTAGTTTGCCCATTATTATGTTGTGGATACATTAAACTGTTTGCTGTGGTTAATGTGTGGTTAGGGTTAGGCATAAAAACCACTTGATTATGGTTAGGAAAAGACCATGTTTTGACTTTTCATGCCACTTTCCCAGCAGGAAACACAGTGATGTCTCCATTAAAAACGACCGCTTTATGAGGCACTATCCCAGCAGGAAATGCAGCAATGTCTCAGTAAAAAAAGACAGCTTCTCATGGCATTATCTTCACAAGATGGAGATCCACAGATCCCTGAAAAACACCCATGTTTGGTGGCTAAAAACAGCTAGGTCTTCCTAAAAAACAACCAGTGTTGTTGTTTACTGGTTTACAACAATGGTCTGTAGGTTTTGCAGGCACTGCGCCGAAGTGACACGTCATCCAACGTCCCCTCCACCTCCCAACGACACTGCCGCATTCCCAGTTCTCAGCAATTTACATGGTGAGTATAATCTTATCATAAAAACAAATAGAGAAAAATAAAACCATAATAACAGCCTGGAATGAGCCTGAACAGAGAATACGATCTGCTCTACTTGGCTGTCCGACTGTCGCTGCTGTTAAAGGTCAAACTACACACTTCCTGCATCTCTTTCACATTAAAGGTTTCAAGAGAGCATCACCTCTTTTGGAATGACAATGATGCTTGCCTGACTCTCCAGGGCCTCTTCGATTCTACTGACTGGAACATGTTTATTGAAGCCTCTGCGGATACTGATGAGCTGACAGATGCTGTTACAAGTTGGACTTCATGTTGCGAAAGCATTGTCATCCCTGCTAAAAATGTTATGGTTTATCCCAATTCTAAGCCGTGGGTAACAAAGTCCCTCAAAACTCTTCTTAATAACAAGAATAATGCCTTTAGGGAGGGGAACGCCTTAGAACTGCACAATCTGCAAAAAGAAATTAAAAGAGAAGTCAGGGCTGGAAAAATGAGGTACAAGGATAAATAGAGGCTCAACTCAGAATGAATAAGCTGGGCTCAGCCTGGGAGGGCATGAAATCAATCACAGGGCTGAAAGAGGGAAGCAGAAATAAGGTAACGCTGGCCAATTATAATTCTGATCATCAACTGGCTCAGAGCCTCAGTTCTTTTTATGTCAGATTTGATGTCCACGATTTTAATGATAAATATTCTGAGATCAGAAACAGTCTTCTGTTGGCCCCTCCCTTTCTTGATGAACAGAGTGTCATCAAGTGTTTTAAATGGTGTTAAACTAAGAAAAGTCCCGGTCCGGACAACACTGGTGGTCGCCTTCTAAGGACTTATGCAGAGCAACTAGGCCCTGTTTTTAACAATATTTTAAATTTTTCTCTCACCCAGCAGAGGGTGCCCTCTCTCTGGAAGCAGTCCATTATTGTGCCTGTTGCCAAGAGCAACAACCCAAAACTGCTTAACGACTTCAGACTCATTGCTCTAACCTCCTTGATTATGAAGCAGTTTAAAAGACTAGTTAAGACAGAGCTTGTGGTCAAAACTGAGAGCCTGTTAGACCCTCATCAATTTGTGTACAGGGCTGGAAGGGGAGCCCAAGATGCAACAGCCACTTCAAAGCATTTAGAAGGAAGTAAAAACCATGCCAGGCTGCTTTTTATTGATATTTCATCAGCGTTTAACACCACCCAGCCACATGTCCTTGTTAAAAAAACTAGTTGATTATTTTGGTTTGGATCCTCGTTTGGTGGGCTGGATTTTTGATTTTCTGACAAACAGACCTCAACAAGTTAGAGTTAACGGGACACTGTCCAGCATCTTGTCATCCTCTACTGGTTCGCCTCAGGGCTGCGTCTTATCTGCGTTCTTGTACATTCTCTATACTAATGACTGTAACAGCCGCCACAACAACAGATTCATCATTAAGTACGCTGACGACTCTGTTATTGTCAGCCTGCTGGCACTCGCTTGTGTGCCCCACAGGCCACTAAAAACAGACACAAATTTATATTTATTAGCCTGCCCTCACTGACATTTATATTTATATTTATTCCTGCCTCCATTTGAGCATTGAATGCTGCTGAGGGAAGGAAGTAGTGTAGCTGTTTTAATGAATGTATGCATTGCTGTTTCCTATTTTTTTAACATTGTACTTGGCACTTTTCTTTGATCTCCTCTTCAAGAGATCGCACTTTACACTGTAATTTTTGTGCAGTTAATGTGTCACTTGCGCACGTTATCTCCCCTTAGAGGGATTGCACTTATGGGACATGTGCAACTTACTGTCACTTGTGCACTTTATTACACTGTGTGCAACCCAGAATTTAATTTTAGCTATTTTAGTCCTGCTTTAGTCGTGTTGCTTACTGCTCGGTGACTGTCTGTGTCAGTAGTCTGTGCGCATGCTACCTGTACTACCTGTCTGTATCTCTTGTATGTCTTGTGTATTTTGTACCTCCTGCTGCTGCAACCTAAATTGCCCTTTGGGACATTAATAAAACTTGAACCTTGAACCTTCTATGCTCGTTCAGCTTTGATTAATTTAGAGCTGAATTTTGATCACCAGCAACGCAATGAATGTTTCTGTGGAGTGAGTGTCTGTGCCAAATACAGCAGTGTCTCAGGGTTAATGACTTACCAGATTTACCACATCTCCTCCATAAATAGACACCTAACCCACACGATGGAGCTAACAGAAGTAAGATGGTCCCTCCCACAGCAATAGCAGTTGTTAGAGAGCAGGACTTCCAGCCTAAAATGAGAATAAAACAGACAATGACATGAAAATGATCTGATATGTTGTAAATATCACAAATAAATTATGACCAAAGGGAAGAGCAGGTTTCAGTCTGCCTGCAAATTCAGCAAATTACGGTCAATGAAATCTTTTCCGAGAGTTTGATGCATTTCAAAGAGCTCTACGTATAATATGGGAGAATCAAAATGTGTTACAGTCAGATATAAACATTTAATTAACCACCTTGGCTAAAGCTGCAGTTTACCTTGTATGACAGGAAAGTGTGTAGTCCTGGTCTGGTTGGTCTCTGGCTGATGAACTCTGCATGTGATCCTGTGAGGACAAGACATTAAAGTTTCCAGTTTGATTTATAAATCACACCTGTAATAAGATAAAATAAGGTAATATTGATCCCAGGAGCGGATTCAGGTGTCGCAACAGCACAAAAACAGAATAAGTACAGATAAGAGGCATATAAAACTAGAATTAGAACAGAAGTAAAAGACAAGTGAAAGACAGTCAGGTAACAGCTGAGCCATCTTGCAGAGTATTCTTTTTTTTTTTTTAGCTATTGTGGCTGATGGTTCTGCGACCTGCATGCTAACGAAGAGGTTTCGAACATGATGATGTCACTGTAGTTGGGTTTCCATCCACCTATTTTTATTTGTATTTTCAACAACTGCGAAAAAAAAAAACTTGAATGGAAACGGCAGAAATTCGAATAAAAGGCTGAAATATCGCAAAAAAGTTTTTAGGAGGGGGTGGAAAAGTGAGCGTGTCGATATTAAGAAAATGCGACTTTTGGCAATGGAAACAGATTTCGCGAATAAATGGTGACGTAGGCTACTTCTACTTCTGAGTCCACAGTCAAAAAATGGCGGCAGAGGAAGGGAACGTGAGATATGTCTGGAGCGACGACGAAACTGAATGTTTCCTTCAATTAATAAAAGAAGCGGTAGTTGTTTACATCACTTGTGGTCTTCTTCTGCGGGTGTTCTTTTGCATATTTATTTTTATTTGTCACGAGAAGCGCCACCTACTGCTCGACCTGCTGACTCCCAGTACTCGCAAAACAATAATGAATGGAAACGTGCATGAATTCGCATTTTCTTTTGCGCATTTTCACAAAATTCGTTAAAATTTGCGATACATTTGGATGGAAACCCAGTTTCACCCAGTGAAGCTGACCTTTGGGATATAAAATGTCATCACTTCATTTCATCCTGTCAGGCATCTGTGTCAAATTTTGTTTTAAATCGGTGTGTTATGTGAGGCATCAAAGTCGAATCAGTTCATTCTCGAATCAAAGCGGATATTTGTTCCAAATTCAAATAAATTCTCTCCAGGCGTTAGAGATATTGTGTACACAAGAATGAGACAGATGAACAGTAAATATAAATCTTCCTGTCACAGCTGTTGCCGACCCGTAGGCGTAAAAACAAAAGTCTTGCGGTTCTTGACTGTTTGCGTAGTATCAAGTATCCACAACATTATAATATTAATGATATTAAAATGCTTATTTTCATACACATGGTTCTGCCAACATTTGTGGCACTAGTCTTACTAACGTACTGTACTTATGTACTCCAGCTCAGCTAAGGTTGAAATGTGGTGTCTGTCGTAACTAAAAGCCGTACAGATGTTCTTGGCTCGGTTTTACAAAAAAATAAAAGACCTCTGAAGTTTAAAGATGGAGCCCAGTGGCCTCTTGTAGAATATTAATTCAAGCTTGAGATGCGAACCTGCTGGCAGCATCCTTGAGAGTCACTCTTCGCTTCACGGTGAAACATCCCCTGGCATCTTGATCTCTTCTTGGGTCATCGGCACGGATGTCGTTTGCCTGATCATCAAGGAACGTGATCTCAGGCTCCGGCTTCCAGCACTTTGCCTCACACTGAAGGGTTATGTCTCCACCTTCAACTGATGTGACGGAGAGTTTTGGCTCGGAAACTGCATCTATAAATAACAGGGAGGACACGTGTGACCTTTGAATGTGCCATTAAACGTTTAACGGATATCAATGGGAACAATACTTATTGCAGCCATTTTACGTGAGACATAAAGTTATCAGTTCAACACCTGAAGAGAACTTCAAGGAGTGTCTTGTTCTTACTTTGTGGTTGGAAACAGACAGTTATCAAAACACACCATGCCTGAGCATGTTGGAAAAGTAAATCTGTAATACCTGTTATTGTCAGACACATCGTTTGGGTGAAGCTCTTGGTTGTATTTTTAGTTTCAGTAACTAGTGAGATCAGGATAATGTTGTTTAATTAAAGAACAAATTGGAGCTTAAGACACACACACCGAAAAGTTTTCCCAGGTGATCACATAGCTCATGAATTTGATCCACACCTAAACTGAGTAATTCTATAATTACAGCTCGGTTTTCTTTCTTGTTAGCAACAAGCCCTGTGTACATATATAACATATTTGCCAACATGGTGTGATGCAACTAAGTGTTATTTTCATTAGAACATTTATATTATGTTGCTGAATTAACTCATCAATCATTTAACCCCTAAAATGTCAACAAAGGTCAATAAATGCCCTCAGAATTGCCCAGAGTCATTGGTGACAACTTCAGATAGTCTGTTTTCCCTAATGAACAATACAAACCCAAAAGGTTTCTTAAACTAAAATGTTTTAAAACATAAAAGCAGCAGATCTTTTTATTTGAGAAGCTGGCACCAAAGAATATTTGGCAATTTTTCTTAATAAATGACAGATGTAGTGAACAACTGTCCCCGTCACATCACTGGGATGTGTCCACACAGCTGTATTAAGGTCATTACTACATGTCCTAATAGTTAGAGTCAGTAGGCAGCAAAGTGGCCAAAGTACCAGCATCTTTGTGTAGTTATATATTCTGTATGTGAGAGTGGTCAAAGGAGAGAGAAATGAAATGAAGTTGTCGAAAATATCTTTAAAAAATTGGCTAATTTAATCAAATCTGGCTCAGGCCTGAGGGTATAGATTCAGATTCAGGTGAAGCCTGAACTAAGTAGGTGAATTACAGGCTCAGGCCTCAAATAAACAGCAGGATTTATCAGGCCTGAAGGAATCATCAGGATCAGTTTTAGGCCTGAAGGAATCCTCAGGATCAGGCTCAGGCTCAGGCCTTAATTATTGTCAGGATCAGGTTAAGGCCTGAGGGAATTATGGGGATCGCACTAAGGCCTGGATTAATCTTTAGGGTCAGGCTCAGGCTTGAGGGAATTGGCCAAATCAGGCTCAGGTCTGAATGAATCATCAGGATCAGTTTCAGGCCTAAATGAATCATCAGGATCACTTTTGGGCCTAAATGAATCCTCAGGATCAGTTTGAATTACCAGGATCAGTTTCAGGCCTAAATGAATCATCAGGATCAGTTTTGGGCCTGAATGAATCATCAGGATCAGTTTGAATCACCAGGATCAGTTTCAGGCCTAAATGAATCATCAGGATCAGTTTTGGGCCTTAATGAATCATCAGGATCAGTTTGAATCCTCAGGATCAGTTTCAGGCCTAAATGAATCATCAGCATCAGTTTTGGGCCTGAGGGAATTGGCTGAATCAGGCTCATCCAGATGATTCAAACTGCCAGGCCTGTGCTGCACTCTTAAGCGGACCTTCCTCGATGACAGACTGAGTGAAGTTTTAGGAGACCACGATGCAGCTGTAGATAAACACACTTGACTGAACGTACCCACAACAAGCTCTACTGCTGTAACGTCCCGCCGTTTGTCACTCCACAGCCTCTTGCACTGGTACGTCCCTGCGTCAGACAGCTGGACATTGGAGATCCTTAACGAGATGTTTCCATTCTTCAGTTCTTTGGAGATTAAGCTCGTCCTGTACCGGAAGGCGGCGTTCTTCATCGCGTGATCCTCACAGCCATCCCTGTACAAGAAGACGATGTTGTCTGGCTGCAGACCTGCCTTAGACCACTCCACTGCTGGAAAGTCATGAGTGGCAGTGTTGCTGAAGCTGCAGGGCAGAATGACGTCTTCCCCGGCCAAGGCCAGGGCCGTCTTTGGTGAACCATGCACTGAGGATTCTCCTAGGAAAACACAAAAATAAATCATTATAAGACAGACTGTACACATTGAGTATTGTTTACTGACATAAGTGAGGAGGACAAAACTTCAGACACTTCTCTCAGTATAGTGCAGTACAATTCAACAGCAACACAAACTAAAACCTCCAAACTGAGAGAAAAGTTTAAGCCACGACTTTTAAAATCAATCTCATCAAAGTCAACAGTAAAAACTTGATGAAGGAAGATTTATTGCCGGGCTGTCGCTTTACACTGGACTGGCTGCGTACCAAATAAACCTGGTTGTTGGAGCAGTACAACGCTGAGACATGTCACAGAGTTTCCATTCCCCTGCAGCTTTGAGGCCTTTAAAATGTATTTTAATTAAAGACTCTTTGGTTGATATGGTCACAACTCAAAGACACAGATGTTGAATCATACTGTGTTGTTTCCACCCTGCAGATAATTATCCGTCATGAGTCACTGCTTTTATTATATTTGACCTCTATCTATCTTTTAAAAACCACATTTCATCTTTCAACACACCCTGTGGCTGAACTGAATGACACCTACATAATTTGTTACTTCCTGCCCTGAACTGGACCAACAGGAGTGTGAAAGTGTGTTAATTGTTTGCGTGACATGATTCACCCTCCCAAATGTACAACTCCTAGCTGAGTGAAAGTATTAATGGAAGCACCGTTGGCGACTCAGCCTTTTCTTTGGTCAGTGTACAAGTCATAACAGCATCAGAACTCCTGAAAACAACACCCACACTTTCCCCATGAAAACAGGAGACAGTTGATCCACAGAATGACAAGAGGAGTCTCAAACACCTGGAACACTAAAACAAAAGCTTGTGCAACATTTTAACGCAGCGGTTCCTCATGCTTTGAATGCCAAGCAGGTTATTAAAAATTCCACCTGATGGAAAACTACTGTACATGTACTACAAAGCACCGGCAGTGGATACATTCATTCATTCTACTATTATGTATTTATTTCTTAATATTTTACACAGAGTTTTAGGAGTTAAGACACACAACAATTCATATCCCATCCATTTTTATTTTACGCGCTGGTGTCAGATCGATACTCGGTATCGGCAGATACCAAAGGTTCAGGGATCAGAATCGGAAAAAGTGGTATCGTTGCATCTCTACTAGCTACTAGGTAGCTATAAGACGCACACACACCACTGGCAGCTGTTAATCTAATTTAGGGAGCTTTGCTGCTTCTTCCTCCTGTTGGTTTCTCTCTCGTCTTTTCTTACTGCTGCTTTTATATTTAAAAGGCATAACTGCTCGCTGAGCTTCAGATGTGCTCAACTCGTCAGTCTTGACAGATTTTGCGCATGAGCTAGCTCCTGTATCGTATTGTCTGGTCACATGATCAAGTAAAGACTTGACATAAGACAACATCAACATACATGTTACCATCAGTCCTCATTGCAGACCTGTATATGACTGAAATGTCAAAGTCAATAAGAACTTATTCACTTATTTGACTAGTTTTTTATATAGCTTATACACAGTGTTTTATAGTTTTTTGTAGAATAAGCATTTAATTTTGTGATAGATTACTACGGACTGTTACGCAAGAAAAGAAAAGTAGCGAAAAGAAAAGTAGGATGGAGATAGATTCGAATTTTATAGATGGTACTGTCTTTAATTTAAAGGGCCAGTGTGTAAAATGGGTTGAAAACCGTTGAAAACAGTGACATCAGTGGTCAAATTCTAGATTGCAGGGCTCACTCGCTCACCCCTCCCGTCGGGTAAATGACGGTGGCCTCGTAGGGACAAAAAGCCTTGCGCAGACACGAGTTTTTCAGGAGTGGGTCTATCTAGCGACGAGGTGAATGTTTATTTAGAAATCTAAACCATGTAACGATATTGTAATGAATCACGAGCAGGAGACCAGAGGAGCGTTCAGGAAAAGGCCCGTTTATTTGAGCACTCCAAAAACTCCGGTAACACTCCAGGGGGTAAAAGACTCCGTCCCAAACTCTGACTCTTCTAGCGTAACACACACACTTCATACACACATACTCGTTTACCATTCCGAGTGGGTACCCCCTCCCCTCTCTGCTCCGCCAATCTCCAGCCCGCACACTGACTGACAGTGTAGCCTGTAAACAGTGCTCAGCTGTTGATTTAGCCTAGCAATATCTCCGGACTATAGTAGCTGCAATGGACGACTTTGAACGCGATTTTGAAGAGTTTCTTGAAGCGGGCACAGATCCAGAGCCATACCTGTTTGAGCTGGAGCATACAGATGAGGAACTCCATGTGTTTGATGCTGAGCGGGCGAGAAGAGAGGCTGAATGCACAGAATGGGATTCGGTGCTACTGCTACCATCGTTGGGGAGATATATCATCAGGAGGAAAAGCGCCGCAGAGAGTGCATCACAAGGAGTGAAGTTGCGTCTTCTTTTCCTCGCAGATGATGGTTCGGGTTCATTCTCTCCTGTTGCGTGGTAAGTGTGGTTCATTCGCAAACTTTATGACTAAAAAAACTTTTCACTACTCTCTATCTACGAACTACTAACACTCTCTGCTGTTTCCTCCTCCTTCTTCCTTCCTTCCGCTGTCTTTGTTGGTTTATTTATACACGCGAAACGCGTTCTCTGGCTGGCTGGATTGTCCGCTCAGGCTGCCATACATACAGTACATGGCAGCGCAAGATGGCGATCTCTCTAAAGCAAGGCCCTTGCTATACATATATATATATAAAAACATAATTATAAGGCTACGAAAACCAAACGAATTTTATTTCATAGCGATTATACACTTAAATAAACATATTAATGGGTAGAATATTCAGATTCAGATTCAGATTGACAATAAACCATGCCAAATATTACACACTGGCCCTTTAATGTGGGGTGTTGTTCCAAGGTGGTGTTCCATTTGACTCACTGCAACCTCACTGCCTGTACTATCTATATCTATACTCCTGTTGCCGAGTAATAATTACAGGACATTGTTACAGGCTGGTTGATTAGTTGCTTCATTATGTGATGACGTCAATGCATGATGTCGTTAAACTGTGTCGTTACACAGAGTACATAATGATGTTACTCAAACAAACTGGCCATCCCTGCAAAAAATTATTTTTCATGATCAGATATTCGCCCTCGTTCCCTAGACAAAAAACAAACAGGAATTTATCCACTGGATTCTGGATTCTTGCAGAAAATAAGCTCTGTGACAAATGACACAATTTAACTAATGGCATGACACTTTCCCAGATTACTTATATTAAGATAATTATTTATTGTATTACAAGTTTTCTGATAATTTATGTGTAAATATGGAAATGAGGCATTATCCGATTAAATATGCACTTTTCGTATACATTTTTAAACAGAAATCAGATTTCAAATAAACTCCTTAATGTGTATTTTGGACGCATTCTTTCCACCTGTCCATAAGAAGACATGTTATGGAAGCAAAATAGTCCAAATCTCTTTTCGCCTGGGCCATCTCACCTTGATGCACAAACCGTTCCTAAGAGTTCAATACGCAAGCTGTTTGGCTCCGTAAAATCTTTCTGATACCTTTAACCACATAAAACTCGGGCTGTCAATCGCTTAAAATATTTAGTTTCGATTAACCGCATGATTGTCCATAGATAACTTGCTATTAATAATCTGTTCTAAATGTACCTTAAAGAGATATTTTTCAAGTTTTTAATACTCGTATCAACATGGGAGTGGACAAATATACTTGCTTTATGCAAGTTTAATGTTTATTATTATTGGAGCGATCTAAATAATGAAAAAAACTGTCCAGAATATTCTCGCATGCTCAAAACATATGATGAAAGCATTACACGGCAAACTTGAGCCCAACAAGCAACAACAGACGGACCTGAACGTAACATTCTTCAGTAACACTAACACAATGTAGTGTCCAACTTGTAAAAGTTAACTAAACATCCCTGTTTTTTAAGCAGCCTGACGTACTCTGATGGTAACTCAATTCACATGGACAGTAAATGCTAACAACTTTGGTATTGCTGAGAGAATCGTGTTGCTTTGAAGCTGAACTTGTCTTTCAAACGACGCCTTTCTTTATTCATTTCTGCTCACCGAGATTTGTTTCTGCTTGCCATGCACAACATTACTGCTGCATCGCTTCCTAATTTCCCAAACAGGTTGGCCAAGGGTCATAATTATAGAAGATACGAGCGTTAATTGCTTGTCATAAAAATTAGTGGCCCTAAAAGGAATTTGCATTAACTCTTTATTAACGTGTTAATTTTGACAGCCCGAGTCAAAACTTGATTTTATCAAGTCTACAACACTGGCAGCCTATGTAGGCCTACTGTGTGAATAGAAATGTAAACTAACATACAGTCCAAACATCTACATTTATGTTGGTAAACACATACAGTCTGTTGCAAGAAATATTGGTGTCATGTTGGATAGCGATTCATGTTCTGAACAACATGTTACCAAGCCGATCCAGTCATGTCTTTATCACCTCAGAGACGTTGCCAAAATAAGATCTACTTAAACTTTTATAGATACAGAAACTGTTGTTTATGCTTTCATCTCTGCGCACCTTGATTATTGCAACAGCCTTTATTCCTGTCTTATCAAAACACCTTGCAACAACTTCTGACTGTTCAGAACCCAGAGCCCAGCCTGAAGACTAAAGGGGACAGAGCTGGAATTGGAATTGGTCCTAGGTCTGTAAGGGCTTAGGGCTTGAGTCAATGAGTCTGTAAGGGATCCATTTCGGATTGGGGGACTAAGTTCATGAACTTACACAAGAAGATCCTGCAGACAGAAAACCTTTGACATGAGCTGAAAAACAACCCCCTGCTCCATCACTGAGTCATCTCAGTAAATACAGGTAAAAACTAGTTGGCATGCAGGGCACACCCACTGAGTCTCAATAAGGAATTTACAGTGGTGGGGGTAGTATTCAGATCCTTTGCTGAAGTAAACTACCAATGTAACAGTGTAAAAATCCCATTACGAGTCCTGCATTTGAAACCTTCATTAAAAGTTTGTTTTAGCCAAACTGATCCATCCATGACCCAAGATTTTAAAGTTAAGTCTACACAAACGCTCCAGATTGTCAAAACGACCGAAAAACTTTGTTAGCTCGACACAAAAACTCCTCTCTTGTGAACTTGATACCTATTTTTTGTGTGAAGTCAACAATTTTTGACTTAATTTGACAAAAATTTATAAGTCAAGTTTCATTAAATGGGTGGAGTTTCCCCACATGCCGTGAGACAATGTGTTTAAGGCCATGAGCTGAAGAAACCTGTGTTGAAATGTGTTGTAAATCACTCACGTTACCCTTAATGCTTTCATTAATGCTTATGTATTTCACAGTGGTTCTGGTGAGTTAAGTTGTGTACTCAGTAAGTGACATCCTGCCTGTGTGGATATTAGAGTGCCCAATTTTAAGTTGTGCTCCCTTGTTCCGAATGCATCTCTTTTCCTTATTCTTGCAGTTGAAAAACTTAAACTATGCCACTTACTGTCCAAGATGAACCTAATGCTTGGTCTTGACCTCTTGACCCAACCCTAACTAATCCTGATGAGCATTTTCTAACCTCAACTAAATGTGTTTTTTTTTTTTTTTATTCAAAATTTTTGTTTAACATCAATTTAGACTCACAAGTCACTCTCTAGATGCTTTGCTCTTGTCTTTCTCCCTGATTTTGTGTTTAGATGGGCAGACACAATTTCAGAGTTTAAAAAAACTCCCTATGTTGCAGAACCAATAGTAAATCCGCAGAGCGGTCCTTCGGTGGCTCACTGAACTCTTGTGCTTGTAAACGTAGTCCTACTGCGTTAAAAGTTTTAAACAAAGTCGCTGTAAGTGCTTCATTTCCACAATCTTGTGGACTGAGCACACGTTTGATAAAATGGAGTTAAATCTCTCGGCATCCATTTTCAAGCTCTCTGTGTGTTTGTTTCCTTGTGGACGAGAAAAGGGGGAGTGCACATTTCTGGGAGGGCGTGTCCTTTTAAAAAATGCAAGAGCATTGCTTTGTTGCCTGCCGTTTTTTCCGGTGTGTTAAACGCACTTTAGAAAGGAGTGTCCCCAGACTATCAGAAGGCGGAGATCTCTGATTGTCTGGTGGCGAGACTAACCCCAATTAAACAAATTCAATGGACTTAAATAATTTTTGTCCTGTCCCAATCTTTGACCCTTTGGACCCTTTGGCGGGCCGGTTCTGGCCCCACTTTGCACACCTGATATCCATGCAGTTATGAAGGCTAAGAGGTGCAGCTGTCAGGAGCAAGTTCTTCTTCTTGTAAAATGCTGCTTCGGAGGCTTTTCAACCCCGACCAACAAACAGCTCTCTGAATAAATGCTGAATACTTACTGTGATCATATTTAAAGATATTAAACATTGTGCAAAATATTGTCAACCAGCTGCTTCAGTACAAAAGAATCTGCATCAAACACTTGCAGCCCTGCAGCTGAGGTACAACCAAAGGTTTAGATATGTAAATGATTTGTGAGGCAGGGGATCACTCAACCTGCTTAGCTTCCACTTTAGTTTGTTGTGGTGATGCCAGCATTACTGCAAAAGAGTGGAAATGTTTGGGAAAATGTAACAACAGCAAGTCTGAGACTGAATATGGAAAAACTGAGACATATTGTAGAGTTATTAGGGCCCGTCCCAATACCCCCCCTTAGCCCTACCCCTAGATTTGCGCGTTCCTGTGAGGGGTAGTGGTGTCCCAATTCCTTTTTGCATGTAGGGGTAGGGGGATAACAAGGGGTAGTGGGTATGAAACTAGCCCTTCAGAGCGAGGGATTTCAGATGCTGACTTGCCACTGAGTAAGAGACGGGGGAAAAAGTTCATACATGTACGTATAATTAGCTAGCTAACGATACTGTCACCAGGTTGCTTGTTAGCTAGCTAGCTAGTTTGCACCATCTGGCGTCTGTCATCTGTCCTGTTCTGCAAAATTGTCAGATTTTTTCACATTACGATAACACGCCAGCTAGTGTAACTATGCTGCCTCGTAATGTTAGCTAGCTAGCAGAAGTCCCCTGTCGTACATATCTTAACGAAGCATGATGAATACAGCAAAAGCGATCAGTAGGATGAACTCAACTGGAGACTCCATTGTAGATGCCAGTTGGAAATGTAGATGGCTCGCAGCGTCCTGTTTACAATAGTTACGTATGCGTGAACGTAACCGACGCAGTGACGCAGTGAGTGGTGTCCCAAATCCTAGGGAAAGATTTCAACCCCTACCCCTCGTTGCTTCATTTCGAGAGCCAAGGGGTAGTGGGCAAGGGGGGTATTGGGATTGGGCCTTAATGTTTTTAAAATTAACTTGTACTTCTTTACACTAAAAGAAAAGGAAAACTGTAAAGCTTGTTTTTATTTCTAGGTTATTCCACAAAGGTTTTACTGGTCCGGTCCACTTGAGATCAAATAGGCTGAATAAGGTCCATGAACTAAAATGAGTTTGACAGCCCTGGTTCAGTTATAGTGTGTCATGCCTCATTGGAATATGAATAACTGTCTTTCCTCCTCAGATTGTAGGAAACATCTTCACCATTACAGAAATATATCAGTTGTTGGGCTTTTTTATGTCAAGAAAGCTTACAAAAGGAGGAAGTTCAAAAATCATCCCAGTCACCCTTAATTCACCCTGGATTTAGGAACTTTCACAACTGGAAATTTAAATTACTGTTTTTCACAATGCAACACGTGCAGCTTTAGTTTAATCAGCCTCATTAAACATGGATCACTGATATCAGCATTAAAAGCTGCCCGGTTATCAAAGTGTGACGCAAATTCAGTCCAACAAGTGTTTCTGTGTTTCTGGAAAATGAGGAAGAGCTTTGACTGACAATTAAGTCACACGACCACTTTACATTTCCCTGAAGAATTACGTGGCTTATTTTCAAACAAAGAAAACTACTTCTACCAGTTTTATTATGAATACACTCATTTGCATCCTGTTAAAGACAAACAAATAAAAACACCTGTAAACTCTCTCACATACCTGAACAACAACACAGCAGAGCAGCGACCAGGAAAAGACGATAATACATCACCAAAACACAAAGTCTGGAGTTTGAATTCTGCTGGGGAAAAAATATGAAAAGTTTCTGAAAATTAATCCTCTTGAGTCAGATCATTAAATCTGGTCAGCAGCAGAGCCTCAGTCACACTGTGCACAACTTCCTAATTCACACGCAGTCACAGCCTGCGGCCAGGGTTCAGTATGTCACTGGATGTCACGTTCAAGATCACTGGGAAAAGTCAACCGTTTTGCACTGACATACGCTTGGAGTGACAGTTAAGTGAAAAGCTGTCGCTAAACACAAACAGCAAAATGTAATATTGACAAATAACAAAATAATGCAGTTATAAATGTACAAAATATTGTCATCCTGAACACAGTTGTAGGTTTCACTGCTTTAATTGAAGCAACAGCTTTAACACAGCTGGCACACATTTCAGAAAATTGCATTGAGGAGCAAAATAGACAAAAGAGTGTCCTAAAACTGGCTAATGATATTGTTAAGACATCAAACTTAATGTCAGGAAACTTGTTTTTGGTAAAAGGGTTTGAGTTACACTTGTAATTTACCAGTTCCTGAAATGGAATTGAACTTCACATGAACATAAAAGACTGTCCTACAAAGATGTGGCTATTTCCTTATCAAGCACTTTAGACATGGGCTGGGCTGTACAGAGGGTACCATGACACAGCTCAACTAAACAAAATAGAAATAAAATCAACAAGCACAGCAACAGTTGATTTCCTGCAACAGCGTCTGTACAAAACAAAACATATTTATTATCCCATTAAGTAAAGTCAAGCTGGGAGGTGCATGTAGACAAACCACAGATACTTACATTTGGATTTTATCATGTGGCAAATATGTTAAAACTTTCTGTTTCAACAACTCTCTGATTAGGTTTAGGCACAAAAAACACTTGGTATAGTCTGGAGAAAGAAAGACCAGTGAGGTCTCAGCCAAAAACACAACTGCTTTTTGTGCCACTATTCATACTGAGAAATCACAGATGGATCACTGCAAAACACCCACATCTGGTGCCTAAAAATCCGCTGAAAAAACACAGGTGGGTTGCTTCAAAACTCATGTTTTGTGCCTAAAAAGCCACTGTAAACACAAAGACAAGTCACTACAAAATGGCCACATTTAGTGCCTAAACTGCTGCCAGAAACACAGCTAAGGGTTGCTACAAAACAGCCACATTTGGTGCCTAAAAGGCATTAGAAACACAACAGTGGGTCACTACAAAACACTCATGTTTGATACCTTAAAAACCTCCGTAAACACAACTACAAATCACTACAAAACACTCGTTTGGTGCCTAAAAAGCTGCTGTAAACACAGTGAGGAGTCACTTAAAAACACCCACATTTGGTGCCTAAAAAGCTGCTGTAAACACAGTGAGGAGTCACTTCAAAACACCCACATTTGGTGCATAAAAAAAGCAGCTGAAAACACAGATGGCCCCTACAAAACACCCACGGTTGGTACCTAAAAATCCGCTGTAAACACAACGACGAGTCGCTACAGAATGGCCACAGAAATACAGCTAAAGGTTGCCACAAAGCACTCATATTTGGTGTCTAAACGCCACTGGCAATGCAGCGGGGACTCACCAAATCACAACCAGTTTTGTTGTTTGTTGGTGCTGATAGTGGACTGCAGCTTGGCAGGGGCCTCTGTGTTACGTCACCCACCATCCCCTCCACCATCACAAAGTCAGCTCATACAGTACGTCACTTCTGAAGCATTGATACCATATGTGTAATCTAGCATGGTTTGCAGAATTGAACAATGCCAACATTTTCTTGTGTGGACTGCTGTTATATTGTGTCATTTACAGTAGATTTACTTTTATAACTTTCTCTAACATAATTTCAAAAACATTTCCATGATTCCAGTTGCATTTATAAATAAATTAAATGCTGAATTCTCAGTGGGATCAGTGATCACATCATCCTCATTCATCTGTTTTTAGACACTTTCTTAAAATGCATTTCTATTTCTACTGCGGATTAAAACATCTTCATGACCTATGTTGAGTCTTCTCACAAACTCAGCTGCAGAAGAAAAACCCGTTGATCCTGTTACAATTTCTTCATCATAGCGTCACCTGACAACCAAGTCAACAAAACAAAACTCTCACTGCCTACAGCAACCTTTGACAGCAGCCTATAATTGAAGATTACTCTATAATTACAGTAGCCTATATTTATGTAAATTAATTGTCACCTTGAGCATCTTTCTAGGAACAGAAATCCCCCTACACTGTGCCACAAACATGAGAAAAAAAATCAATATTCTTTAATGTCATTGTAACTTTTTTTGGCCATCTACACTTTGCTACACTTTGTGCAGCTGTCATCAACTATCTCTGTTGGACATGGACAAGTTTTGGCTAATTGTGTCAAAGAGGAGAAGACATCTGGCGCTTAGAGGGACTCTGTATGGCGCCTCCCGGAGCTCGAAAACTCAAACTGGCTATAGGGTGGATGGGACTTATTTGCTAAGATACTCTTTGCTTTCATCCTTGTCCTGTCTGTAGAGTTGGGTCGAGGGCTCTCATGGCCTGCCAACTATTTAACTTTCCATTGTCACAATCCTAGAGAGTTTATTCCTGGATGTACAGTTAGGAAGATGACAAGTGGAAACACTATCAACCATAGTTTTGTACACTAATTCTAAAATCTGCTGACTAACACCAAGGCCAGAGTTTCCTAATTAGATAAAGCAGCTGTGAGCATCCCTTGAAAATATACTCTGTATTTCCAGAGAAGCTCTAAGCACAAATTTGAGGTACTTCTACTTTATTCCATTTTATGTTGCTTAATATTTCCCCTCCACTACACCTCATATTACAGTTTTTAATCCCCTTCAATCCATAAACATCAGATACATTAAAACAATGAAAGGGAACATTTTACTGGACACTTTTATTATAAGAACTTAAATTAGGCCATATTAATATCAATATATTAACTTCAATACTGCATACTTTTAAAAGTAGAATGCAGTACTTTTACTTGTAGTGGGGTATTTTCACAGTGTGGTACTCTTACTGAGGTGAGGGATCTGAATATTCTTCCACCAGTTCCTTCAGTTCAGCATCATGGACAGAGACCGTGGACGACCACCTTTTTGTCCACCAGTGACGGCAAAATGAAGCCTCATGAACCATTGTCTTTGTTTTCTGAGCCCATACGATGGCGCTGCCTCTTCAACAAAGGGTTGAAAGCACTGAATTGTTGTTCCTTGAGCCTTTTCCCGTCCCCTGTAAAGACAATGGTCCACAAGGCTTCATTTGGCCATCACTACTGTCCACCACTGCTGATTTTTTTCTTAGTACTGTATGCTATAAATTGTGTCTGTATGGATCTACACAAGATACTAAACATCACCCTGGAGACATGGCAGGCTTAGAACTGCTCTTCATCACTCCTTACCTCCTCTTCTTCTGCATGAATGGTCTCCTCAAAAACAGCTCCTCTTCTGTTTTATCTCCCAGGACCCCAAAACTGAGCTGCACATCTACAAGAAGGAAACCTAGATACACAGGTGTAGATTTTTTTTGACAGTAGCAGAGGACTATATAGAGGATGAACTGCTAGAATTCATCTTTTTGATGCAACAATGCCTTCAGTGAAGTAGGTGACGTCATCGGTTGCAGTCTGCCATAAAACAGAAAAGACATGAAGCAGTTCAAGTATCTTGGGGTCTTGTTCACGAGTGAGGGTAGAATGGAGCGTGAGATGGATCGGCGGGTCGGTGAGGCTTCTGCAGTGATGCGGGCGCTGCACCAGTCCGTCGTGGTGAAGAGGGAGCTGAGCCGGAAAGCAAAGCTTTCAATTTACTGGTCCATCTACGTCCCAACCCTCACCTATGGTCATGAGCTCTGGGTAGTGACTGTAAGAATGAGATCGCGGATACAAGTGGTGGAAATGAGTTTCCTCTGTGGGGTGTCTGGGCTCAGCCTTAGAGACAGGGGGAAGAGAGGGAAGAGGGGGAAGAGGGGGAAGGGGTCAGTTGAGGCGGTTCGGCATCTGATGAGGATGCCTTTTGGGTGCCTCCCGCTGGAGGTGTCCTGGGCACATCCACTGGTAGGAGGCCCCGGGGTAGACCCAGAACACGCTGGAGAGATTACATATCTCGTCTGGCCTGGGAACACCTTGGGGTCTTCCAGGACGAGCTGGAAAGTGTTGCTGGGGAGAGGGATGTCTGGGGTGCTTTGCTCGGCCTGCTGCCCCCATGACCCTGCCCCAGATAAGAGGATGAAAATGGATGGATGGACATGAAGCAACTGTCAGGAAATACCATCACAATTTTACCATAAATTGATAAAGAAAGGGCACAAACTAGAGCGTAAACATTACTTTCATTGTACACATCTGAGAACCCCCAGACCCCTGTGTTCCTCAAAATTTTTTAAAAATAAACCTTCACTCTTGCTAAGATACATTGAACAGTTCACTGTGAAGTATCAAAATGGATGGAAATTAAGCACGAGAACAATGTTTCACTTCAACCACAAGAGGGCACAAAAGGCAAAAAATACTTCACACAAAAAATACTTCACACTTTCTACCATAATCTAAATACATGAAGTCATTTATATGAAGTATCATATGGAAATATGTCCACATTTGCATCTTTCATGGACCTTGTGTGTCTTGAGTGGGTGAGTACCCTCCCTGCAGTGCTACTGAGGGTGGTGTCAAAATAAAGTAAGATACTGAGATAAGTATTTTTCCCCACAGCAGGGAGATGTGTAGTGTCACAGAAGCAAAGGGGTTAGAGCAATAACAAAAATAAGGTGTCATAAATGAGTAAACAGTCAAAAGGCAAAATATAATAAGTAGATAGACTGTACTCAGATAAAACACACATGAAAACAAAACAGGAAGTGGGTTTCTGCTCACGACTGCATGCAGAGGTGAAGATATAAAGTAGGAAATAGGCATTATATGTAAAAGCTTATTAAAGCTTAGAGGCAGTTTGGCTTCAAAACACTGAAATATCCTCATTGTCTTCATTTATGATTCTTTAACTTATTGAAAACAGCACATGTAAGGCACCTTTGCCCGTCTTTACCAAATGACGAAAGCAGTTTAAACCACAACAAAGGAAATGCTCACATGAATTCAAGTACATGCGCATGATAAATAAGAAACGACATCTCACATACAGTACATCACCCAACATCGAGCAGACCGGAGCTATGTTTGCCTTCTAGGTAGGAAGCTTTAAAAATTATAACTTTTCATTTCAGCACCATTATTTTGAGTTGTGACGATGAATTGAATCATTTCTGTCATGTTTATTAAGTTACTTTAACTGCTGTGGAAGAAGTGATTAAACCCTCTAAACACTGAGTTGAGGTAGTCAAACCCAAGAACACTCCGTTAATGCTGCACTTTAAATGTTAGGTAAAAGTAAAGAGGTAGCATTGAACAGTAGTTTATTCAAATGTCGAAAGGTCTCATTCTCAGTAACGAGTGTGACCTTTTTAATATTAGCTGCATGATGAGGTGCCAAGAGATTTACTTTGGGATTTTTTTCAAACAATGTGACATGTTAATGTTGATCAATATTTCCTTTGTAAGGAGCAAGGTATTTAAAAACGACAGCAATGTATGTGACAAGGCCAATGTTTACTTCTTTTCTTTTTTTTTCTCTCTCTCACTGTTGTTTCCTTTAACAAACCACAGCCGACTGCTTTGGTGCACGTACAGCACGTGTGTCTTCTGGCTACTAGACAACACACATTATTTGTTTTAATCCAAAATAGGGCTGCACTGTATATGTGGTAGACGGTAGAAATGATATAAATTTGGCCCACGGTAGAGATTTGCGCTCTGCCGTCCTATCGTCGATGACGTCATCGCACCTGCCTCAATGTGAAAATGGCTGTGAGCACAGAGACAGCGGAGCAAGAGGAGCTGGTTCACGTCCGTGATTTAGCGTAGCACGTGCAACATGTGTTGCTGGAGAACTTGTGAGTGAGTGAGTTAATGTCTTATGAACAGCCCCGGACTTCTCAGACTCTTTTAGCGACTTACCGCTCAGAGGGAACTCATTCAGTGTCTCCTCTGGCAGCAGCACAGCGTCTCTCCCTCTCCTCTCTCGCCGTGCGCACACGGGAGTTGGTTTTCGGCAAGAGAGTTTGTCATAAAGCTTTGGTAATGTAAACCTATGTGACGCTAGGGGCTCCACAAAAAACTCCATATGTGAATGTGTGATAGTTGTAGTATCATAGCAGCCTGTCACAGGTTACAGCGTGATGATTAGAGGAGAAATGGCAGAGCATAAAGGTCCAGGTGGAAAAAACACAACTCAGTCATTTAGGATTTTGCTAAAAGAAGGAAATTACCTTTTGATATAGATCCCAGGGGACATTTTGCACCATAGAGTACTGGGTTTTAATTTTGAGTTTTGAGATCTGCATTCTGCACAATAAATGCTCTAAAAAATACATTATATCTTTGCTTTTGTTGTTGTTGTTGTTTTTTAATCAATTTAGCTTTGCTAAGGGACTACAAAACCCATTCAGAAACACTTCTATTATAACTTTTACACTTAAATTTATACCGCGATATATACCTTTACCATGAAGGGATTTGATTTATACCGTGATACAAATTTTAGGTCATACCGCCCAGCCCTAATCCAAAATAGAAACTTTTCATACAACACATAATAGAGAGAGAAAAACAAACAGTGGTAAAGTATTAATATGGCATTGAGAAGGCTGAGGACAGAGCAATAAACCTGAAAAGCAAAACAACCTGTTACTTTCCCTTGCGGTGCAAACATCCCCGTCTTTCCCTGAAGAGTTTATATTCTCTAAAGATTGCCTTATTTATAAGCATGGTGTCGATATCATGAATGTGACCCAAATAATCATTTTCTACTATCTTACAACTTTATTTATTTTCAGAACTCCACGATGCATCATCCACTCATCCAGCTCAGTGATGGACTGGCTCACAGTGGTTGCCGAACGCTTTTATACACCATGATCGTCTTCCTTGTCCTTCTACAGTCCGGTGACGGTAATTTTAATGCAAAGCACAAGAATAACACCATGGTGCATGTTGGAAATCAAAGGTCATAACCATATGGTCAAGAACCTACATTTATATTACAGATAAAGTCTGGGACAGTGATCAAATGAGAAAGAAAGACAAAGGGAGCACTGGGCCTGGGAACATCGGCCTAATACATTTTAATAGTGGTTTGTTGAAGCCAGCTGAACTTGTGTTTGTACTGGCTGATGATCCAGCATCTCCTCCACTAAGTTTAGATAACGATACCATTCCCTCAGATTTATTTTTATACATGTTCAAATATAAGCTGTTTATAATATGGCTTGGCTGAATACGTGATGGTTATTATTAACGGAAAGATGTGCATCCATATTTCCCAGTACACAGGCAATAAAGTACCCGACAATTCCTGCATAGTATCTCGTTAAAGGACAAGTCATATAAAGCCATAGAGGGTTATTGAGATCTGTACAATATGCATACAGTAGATGCCATTGGAGGTCACAATTCCCGATGGCATTATTGTTTCTGGATGTAAATCCTGACCAACAAATTGATCTACAAAGAGCCCTGTAGTGTAAAAAGCCAGTCAGAATTGCAGGAATTATGCTGCGTTCCATTTACCTTGGAAGTCAGAGTTGACCGCATTCCAGTAAAACAAGTTGTAATACAAAGATCAAGCCACTTCTAACAAGGTTAGCTATTGTAAGCTATTTCTGACAATACCCAACACGTTCTCATCCCAAGTTGTCACATATCGCCGCTTTGTCTGTGGATTTTTGCATCTACATATTATACGCTAGTTATCAGGACATTAACAAAAACTAGCGTGAACCACTTTCTTTATTTTCTGACAGAACTGTATGGCTGTTAACCCTTACACATCTGTTTCTCGATCCTTGCTTTTCTAAACAAAATTTTTGGTTCTTTTATGTCTCCTTTTTTTACTTTGCTTAAACCCTGGATTTTGCACATCCTTGTCTGATTTTCAGTTTGACGCCTCCTTTGTTTTACGTTTGTACTTGGTTGCTCCAATATCATTTCCACCATTGTTGTTTGATTTTTGTGTTTAAGTTTTGTAGCACTGTCCCCGTGTTGTTGTGTACATTCTGAATAAAAGTTAAAAAAAAAGAAAAAAAAAGTCCTAAATAGGGAACACTAACTGTGGGGCATGCTGGGAGCAGTGCCACCATCTTAGAGGGATAAGTAGTGATGGTCAAGTGAAGCCTCGTGAACCACTTTCTTTATTTTCTCACTCCACCAGAAGGCGCTCTTGGTTTAAAGATAAAGGCTGAAGGACTAGCAGTGAAATGTGCTTTCAAAGCTTTGTTGAACAGACAGTGCCATCTAGTGGCTTCAGAAAATAAAGACAGTGGTTCATGAGGCTTCATTTGGCCATCACTAACAAAAACACATGGTTAGGTTTAGAAAAAAATCTTCATGGTTGCACTCTACAGTTACACAGGAAGTAATAACTGGACTCCTGGTTAAAGGTTCAGGGTTTGTGGACCCATCCACCACCCCTCCCACCTGCCCTATGAGGAAAGGTAGCTTTGGTGTCAGTGTCTGACACCGAAATCGCTGACAAAGCAGCAGTATCTGACAACATTGGAATGAGAACGGGCTGCAACACCAGTTGATAAGGATGCATTTTGAGCTATTTTGCGCATACAAACACTGTAGCAACATGTCACCAGCACTGTGTATTACTGTTTTAATGAGACACAAATAAGACAGAAGTGCTAACAAAGAGTAGATGCATTGAGCAGCCATCTTGGATTTTGAGGTCAGGGTTGGTCATGTTCCTCTGACCTCTGACCTTTATGCCACGGATCTGTTTCTTCTTCAGGTCAGCATCAGGTGGTTGGTCCATCTCAGCCAATACGGGCAACAATTGGTGATGACATCATTTTGCCATGCCACTTGGAGCCTGCCAAGGATGCTTCTGACATGAAGTTGGAGTGGGCGAGACCTGACTTGAACCCTAGGTTTATACATGTGAGGGCAAACCGTCAAGAATACGTAATTCACAAACAGCCATCATACAAAGGAAGAACATCGGTGTCCAACGACAAACTGAAGCATGGAGACGTTTCACTGACACTCTCCAAAGTGAAAGTCTCTGATGAAGGATTGTACAGATGCCTCATTCCCTCACTGAATCAAGCAGCTTTTATTCAACTTATTGTTGGTAAGTGATCCTTTTATGGTATGATTTAGAGTAAGACATTTAATATAATAATAAATATATTTGATATAGCACCTTTCACAGAAATAAAATTCACAGAGTGCTTCACAAAATACAATCTAACAACCAAACAATAAAATATGCAATCAATGAAAACAAAGGCAATACAACAACTACTGAAGATCCAAAAAGAAACACACCAGGGAATAATCATGAGACAATTTAGGGTGGGACAAAGGTCATTTTGAAGAGATGGGTCCCCAGTTGATCTTTAAAAGTTTCTATGGCATGACCATAGAGGGCTCTATATGTGAGAATCACAGTTGTCCAGTCAGGAGGACACAGAAGCATGGATAATCATGTCAGGTCGAGACATCACAGACCTGAGCTTTGCAATATTTCTCAGCTGAATTAAACAAGTACAGGTCAATGATTTAATATGATGATCAAAATGCACGGCCTGATCAAAAATAACACAGAGATTCCTAAAATTTGACCGTACAGCTGACGAAAGGGATCCAATACTCTGGGAAACCTCTGAAGCAATTATCAGATTACCTAGGTGGCAATCAAAATATTGTGAAGAACAGCAAGTTTGTCGGTGCTTGTCGTCAGTCAACAGTTATGTGATATACCTGTGAACTGGCTAATAATGTGACCCAGTGGAAGCAAATAATATAGGACCTAAGACAGAGCCATGAAGTACACCACAGCGAAGAGCAGCAGTAACAGACCTGAAAGGACCAAGAGACACAGAGAAACTGACGTATGTACTTGGTTGTTTTTACATAACTGAGAACTGTACTGGGGCCCAGACATACCAAGCTGATTTCAAAGAACTAGCAGGAATCGAAGAGGACTCTTGCATCGCCTCATGTTGACGATTCAACATGCTAAGCAAAAGACGTTCACTGACGGTCCAACATTAACTGGCGGCTTAGTGTGTGAGGGCTTTAAGATGTGCTATTCTGATCTTTTACTCAAAGGAGAAGTTTGATATTTGGAACACACATATTTGTTTACTTAGTACAAGCTGGATGAGAAGATTGACATCACTCTTGTGTCTGTACAGTAAATATAAAGCTGCAGCCAGCAGCCTGTTAGCTTAGCTCAGCATAAAGACTAGAATCAGGGGGAAATAGCGAGCATGGCTCTGTTCAAAGGTGACAAACTCTGCCTCGCAACACCTCTAAAGCCTTACTTTGATAGGTGCAAAAAAAGGAAGTACGGGGATTTCTTGAGTGGGTAGTAACTTCCTTTAGTCTGTGGTTCCTCACAAGGAGGACAAGACACAGATGTAATTGAATCACAAGGCGTTGTCTGTTTGCACGGGTTTTCGAAAACACAATTTTACACTAGGTGTCATGATCTTAAGTAAACATAAATTTTACTTTCCCTGAGTGTAAAGTTCCCTAGTTATTTAAAAGCCAATCAACATTCCTAAATTCTTAAAGGCCCAATCAGTATATTTGGTTGCAACACACATATTTGCTTGTACTTTAGCAAAATATAGCCTCGTCTGAAACCAGGCAACACTGTAATCATTGACTGACCATCTCATCAAAATGTCATTTTTAGGTGCCGTCTCCTCACCTGTAATCAGTTTAGAGAACAGATCCAGCAGGAGAGTGGTGTTACAGTGTGAGTCTGCAGGCTGGTATCCAGAGCCTGAGGTGTTGTGGCTGGACGGTGAGGGAAAGCTCCTCTCTGCTGGACCTACAGAGACAGTCAGAGGTCCTGATGACCTCTATACTGTCAGCAGCAGAGTGACTGTGGAGAAGAGACACAGCAACAGCTTCACCTGTAGAGTCCAGCAGAGGAACATCAACCAGACCAGAGAGACACACATCCAGGTTCCAGGTAGAGACTATTAATAAATGTGTCATATGCTTATTATAAATGCCATGCTGTTTTGTGATTCATCATTTCAAATTATATCTTCACAGTCCTCTCTATGTATGTGAAGTGTGTCATGGCTCCTGGCTTGGTCTGTGTCTGTCTTTCCGGTGTCCTCACAGTACTTGGATGGAGACCAAGGTATAATTGTGCTTGTCTTTTTAAAATTTCAAGATACTATAATTAGCATTTTTATCCCCCTTCTTTTAGTGTAATGGATAAAAACTGCTTAGCCAAGTTTCACTGCTAACCAGATTAAAATAGTGGAAAACTGAAGGTGAGTAGAGGTACTAACTGGAGGCACAACCTTCCTGGAACAATGCTGGGATCAACCAATCACCAGTGATTACCACTTGCTTTATTTTCTGACCTCGCCAGATGGCCCTCTTGGTTTGAAGATAAAGGCTGAAGGAATGGCAGTGAAATGTGCATACAAACCTTTGTTGAACAGACAGTGCCATCTAGTGGTTTCAGAGAATAAAGACAGTGGTTCACGAGGCCTCACTTGGCCATCACTGCCAATCACAGCCCTCTGACATCATCACAGCGCTGCTCCTGTGCTTCTTTCAACTTTCATTTGTGTTTCTTCAGAGCTAAGCTGTTTTCCAAATTGAAGTTATTACAAATGAACAAAATCCTCAGTAACACTAAACAAAATCCCTATGAGCTACTGCAGGGTTAGCGAGTTAGCTTGCCAAGTAGTTTGGCTGTGCTAACACATAAGCTAGGCTAGAATATTATTTACAAATAAAGAGGAAGGATACTTTAGTTTTTCCTTTTGAAAATACCTGCAATGAACACATTCCCTCCTTTTTTCTTGCCAAATAAAAACTTTTTTTTTGCAAGATTGCAGTGTTGGTGTTGATCCAGGACCACACTGTAATGGTGACCCTGGATAATTTGCTTATGTCAACATCAACATAGCAGTGATGATCCTAGATCAACATGAGCAATACTTTTCAGGATCAACCATGGTAATGATGGTTCAATATCAACATAAAAAGTTATTCAAGATCAACGTGGCAATAATGGTCCTGGTCCAACATTTGCACTGCAATCTTGCAAAAAAGTAGTTTTGAATGGGCTATGAAAATACCCGCCATATCTGTCAGGTGGATGAATTATCTTGGAAAAGGAGAAGTGCTCATTAACACAGATTTTAACACATGTGCAACCAAAATTTGAGATAAATATATCCTTTGAGTGCAGAAATAGTCTTAGATCTTAAACTTAAACCTGTTGAAAAATGGGAGCAAAAACAAAAGTGTGGCATTTAATTTTTTGTAGTATCTGCTCAGGTTGCTTGGAACCTTAACCAAGGTGGTAGAACAAAGAAAAGTACCAGGTATATCCACATCTTTTGTCAATGGAAAACCAAAAAAGAGTGAGTCGAATAGAGTAGAGCTGTGCCTTACCATGCAATGGAAGTGCAGAATAAATCTGTCAGAGAATGGCACCTACAGAAATATTGTCAGCGCTGGTTGTTCTGTTGATACAAAGCATCCAAAACTGGCAGCAGAAATTAGGGTTTCCATTCTGTCCTGTTTCACCAGTCAACACTGTTTTCCTCTAACCATGAAGATAAAGTTACTAATGACCTGTTTTGTTGATCACCAGGTTGATAGTGGTTCGTCAATATTTAAATGAGAGGACTCAGAGGACTGACAACCATGAAACAGCAGGAACAGAAAACCAAACGGCTCCACTGCAGCAAGAACTTCAGGCACAGTAAGAAAAGACAGTTGAGTCCCTGAAAAGTCTGAAGGAGACGGAAGGAGACCTAATGGAAAAGGAGCAATCGTTTCAGTTGGTGCCACTGGATTCACACTAACATTGCTGTTATGCGCATGTTAGCATGCTGACAAATGACAAATGTTAGCATTTGGCACAAAGCACCTCCATGCCTTAGTGTCTCTTCAGGGTGAAATCGGTTAAATGCACCCCTTTCTATGCAATACAATGATTAGCGCTAACAGCCACATGGAGTTACAGTGAAATTGTGAGCGTCTCCAGAGAGCTGGTGGTAACTGAAGCGCACTGACAGACAGGGGTATGAAATCCCAGATACTGTTTCTTTCTATCGTGTTTAAATTCCTTGCCTGAAGTTTTGAGGAACGCTTGCACTGTAACATCATTGGCGCAATATTTTTTTTGTGAATCTGACCTTGAGATGGGGCAGAGAGTGGTCACAGGTGATACACAATTCATGGTGCTATCAGCAGCCTCAATCCATTCTCTGTGAATTTGCCACTCAGTGTCTGTACAGACAAGTTGGGAGCTGGTGATACAGTGCCACACAGTAACCACTGAGCCTTTTCTTTGGATCAAAATGGACAGTAATGACTGCAAAGTAGATTGCAGGTGTCAGCCTTCCCACTCTCTAGGACTTTAACGCCTCCAGCACCACAAAACGGGCAGAGAAAATGACTGTAGCACCCCTATGGACAGAACAGTTAGCACTAGAGGACTAAGTTTGGATTAAATTTAATAAAATGCCCTCTAAGGTGCCCTAAATGCATCAGCACTTTATAAAATGACACCTCCTGCCTGCAGTATATGCACATTAACCCATCACTGTAAATAGGATGTCCAATTATTTATAGTATTTATTCCAGCACTGTCATGCCCTGCACTATTTCTCTTACCTGGACATTTGTTTGCTACTAGTTTGCTATAATCTTGCATAAGGTTGTTATCTTTTTTTTTTAATGTATCATCCCTCAAATGTGTCCTGTATAGTGTTTATACTTATATTGTGAGTTACTGTAAATTGTAGTACAATTCCTGTGAATGTCAACACCTGTGGTCAATAAAGCTGATATGGATCATTGAGTTAATTGTCATTGTCATTATATTTGTTCCTGCACACTCTAACGATACCTTCTGACCTGTTCCTGTTTTTCAAGGTAAGAGACCCAAACCAACCAATGAACGAGTAGTTTATTAATAATAATTCCATAAAAAACCCTCAAGTTTAAAGACAGAACACTTGCAGAGGACACATTAGCCCTTTTTAGACAGGAATTGTGCAAATTAGCAGGAAAGCCCAATCAGTCTTTTTTCAGCATTGGCAGTATAAAAACAAAATCGGGGAGTGCAGCAAAATGCCGCCTGCCTACTTTTGTTTATACAGAATGTGCCTTTTTCGGGGCAATGGGGGGCGTGAGCAAGTAACAAAACGTGTAGCTCAGCGTGCGACGTAAACAGTGATGTGAGAGGGAAGCCGCGGCTGGTCAGTCCTTCAGTGATTCTCTCGTAAGTCGGCCCGTTCTTCATCGTCCCCGTCATCTGACGGTTAATGGCCTCTTTGTTTGCGAGGACAAGGAGGGCACGTAATTCCTTGTCTCCCCAGTTGCTCATCTTTACAGTGTCTGTCAGGTTTGTGTTTCCCTCTTGCTACTAGCTGCTCACTAATTCCTGCTATCAGCTGTTTCCTGTTTATCCACCGCCAGTGTCTCGCACGTGTGGCGTCATCAACAGCTCCTCCCACAAGTCATCAACAGCTCCTCCCACAAGTCATCAACAGCTCCTCCCACAAGTCTTCAACAGCCCCTCCCGTTGCGGAAGGGCGCCTCGGTCTGTTTAAACTAAAAGGGTTCCTCCAATATGTCTACCCTACGAGGCGGAAAATTGGGCACCTCGGATCAACTCGCCAATCCGGCTCTGTGTGTCTAAACGCTCGCAGCTTGCCTGCAAATCGGCCCAACATTCACTGGCAGTGTAAAAGAGGCTAATGATGGGACCCTAAAAGACACGTTTGGGGCCTGAAAAACTACAAGAAACACAGTGACAGGTCCCTGAAAAACACATTTGGGGGCTGATAAGCAGCTCGTAAAAAAGCCAAAGGTCCCTTCAAATCACCCATGCTTGGGGCTTGAAAAGCCTTGGGAACCACAGCGTCAAATCCCTAAAGAAACACCCATGTTTGGGAGCTAGAATGCCGCAGGAAACACAGAAACCGGTCCCTGAAACACACTCAACTTTGAGGACAAAAAGCCTCAAGACACACAGTGATGGTCCCTAAAAACACTCACATTAGGAAGCTGATAAACAGCAAGAAAAACAACCGCGTTGATGGCCTGAAAAACTTTGGAAGACACAGCGACAGATACCTAAAGACACTTAAGTTTGGGGACAAAAAAGCTGCAGGAAACACAGCGATATACTACGTCACCTTAGAAACAATATGATATGAAACATACAAATGTACCATTTGTAGTTTGCAGAAACACACCATGCCAACATTTTCTCCTGGGCTCCCTGTAAACTCTCTGAACAGTTGGTTTTCTAGAAAGCTGTTGAGCTTTCAGTGTCATCATGCTGGAGTATCACATGTCAAGTATGGGAAGAGGTCCACCGCTGGGCTTCCAGGTAGCAGAGACTCTGTTATTGTGAAGGAAAGAGGAAGTATGGGTTAGTATCCACTTCGTCAGAGTCCTTTAGATGCAGCGGGTTGCCCCTGCCCTGAGCAAAAGGTTGGCAGCTCACAGACAACCACACATTCATGTCAGGAACATGTTAGTTCTTGCCTGTTTTGTTTCTGCTCTCAGTGCTGATCTGCGACTTTGGAAGCAAAGCAGGTAAGCGTCAAACTGTTTCAGTATTTTGTGTCTACATGTAAAATATTTAAAGCAGCTGCTTGGGAAAGAAATGCTGAAACTGACACAAACTCACAGGTTTATATATAAAAATATAACTTTCAGACTAGATGCATAATGAGTTCTTTTACTTTACAAGTTAAATAAATTCTGCTGATAGGAAGATTGTGATATTGTGAGAGAGTAAGGTTTGAACACTTCTTACCACAGGGACTTTATGTGGTGTGTCAGTGAGCAATCCTTACCCACATTATGGACACGAGACACAGTCGAGTCAAGATAAGACAAGTAAATGTGTTTATTTATGCACAGTTGAAAACAGGTTTCCCTGCGCAATGAGATGCTGCTTAACAATGAAACACAGAAAGTAAAAACTATAAATACAAGAACACCTTCAGCTTCTGAATAATCCCTCTATACATCCCTGTGACAGCCGTGCTTTGGTCAGAGGAGAGACTGAAGACAGTGTCCAGGACTGTTGACACACAGTCTGGTGCCAGTCAGTGTTACTAAAACACATTTAACATCTGAACACGTCTCCTGAATCTTTAAAGTGAGGTTTTTATTTGATTATGATTGAAGTAAGGCAGAGCTGCTGGTTTATTATGTGCATCTGTATGAAGCAGCCCAGTGAGACCAGTTAGTGGAGACGTTACACCTGTTGTGTTAAACTATTTATGACTACAAATTCCTGGCTCTGTGGTAGTTTAATCTTACTGGAAAACATCCAAACAAAACCTGTTAATCTTCACTGAAAACACAAATTACATTACGTCACAGAAACATTACGAAGACTTTCAGTAATGAGACAAAACGTGTACATGCTTGAAGTAACAGTATGGCATCAGTAAGTGTGGGTATTGTGTGAGGCCAAGGACTTCACACAGTATCACAAGCAAACCAAATGGAGTAGGGAGCCCTCTAGTGTACGTGAGGTGCACATGGTTTATTATTTGTGAGACTTGGGCAGAAATGAAAACAGAAACACATCCAAAGAAAGGAACTGAACGTCTTTATGAGCTTTACCTTTTCTGTGAGACAACAGTCCAGTCGTCAGAGGAAAACGTTGCCATTGTTTCTGCGAATCACAAATATGTTGCATTTGCATGTGTCGTACGTTTCATATCAACGTCTCTAAAGTGATGTAATGTATGAGCTGATTGTGTCATAACGGCATTGCACCCAGGTGAGACACCTGCCAAGTTGCAGACCGCTGTTCGAGATCAACAAACACAAAATTGGTTGTGATTTAGCGAGTCATCGCTGTGTGTCCAGCAGCTTTTTAGGCACCAAATGTGGGTGTTTTGTAGCGACCCATTTCTGTTCTTCCATCAGCTTTTGAGCATCTGTCACTGTTTTTTCAGCAGCTTTTTAGATAAGAGAGAAAATAGTTGCAATAAACAGTTAAAGGAGGAGTTAGGAGCAACTCATCACAGTTCCAGTAGCTTTTCAGGCATCAAAAGTTGGTGTTTTGTCGCGACCTGTCACGGTTTTTCCAGTATATTTTCTTTAGCATCCATCAGTGTTTTTCCAGTGGCTTTTTAGGTATCAAACATGGGTGTTATGCAAAAACGCTTTGCTTTTTTTCCAGCAATTTTGAGCAGCTTTTAAGGTAAAAATGTGAGTGTTTTGTAGTGACCCATCGCTGTTTTGCGGCTTTTTTGGCATCAAAGTGGGGGTTATTGGGCTGCATTCTGGTAGTTGTAGATTTTCTACCTCTTGAGCAAAAGTGAGTGCCATAAACCCTTTCCCCTGTTTTCTCTGGTCATATAGCACCAAATTCAAAAGTATTTGTGTGTCTCCTCTGCATAGACAGCCCAGTTCAATAAAAACACCATCGCTCCAACAGTGACATACTCCTCTCTCATCATCAGGTGCTGTCTCCACGCCCATCATAGAGATCAGATCATATTACAATGGAAGTGTGGTGTTACAGTGTGAGTCTGCAGGCTGGTATCCAGAGCCTGAGGTGTTGTGGCTGGACGGTGAGGGAAAGCTCCTCTCTGCTGGACCTACAGAGACAGTCAGAGGTCCTGATGACCTCTATACTGTCAGCAGCAGAGTGACTGTGGAGAAGAGACACAGCAACAGCTTCACCTGTAGAGTCCAACAGAGGAACATCAACCAGACCACAGAGACACACATCCAGGTTCCAGGTTACAAAGAGTTCTTCCTGAGTAAAATATATCGTCACTGGTTTACACAGTTTGGGTCTGGTTTGATTAAAACGTGTCATTCTGTTCTGTGTTTTATCATTTCAGATGATTACTTCATGGACCTGCTCTCTTCTAGCTGGATTTGGAGCAACACACTTGCTATTATTGCTGTCGTACTGTCAGTTATTTTCATACTATTATGTCAGTGGAGATAGAACTATGATATGTTAATATTATCTGATCTATAAATATCTATGTAACATTGTATTATCTAGCAGACTCTTTCATATAGTTTCTGTTTGAGTATAGTAAGAAAACGACTTATTGCTAACATGAACAAACTGATAAAACAGAGATGGACTCCATGTGGTCGTGCAGGATGAAATACGTCACTCGTGGAGCCACACTGGTGTCTTTCTCTGGTTTCCCAGTTCCCAGTTGATATAATGAAGGTTTCATCAACTTAAGCTCTTCCAGTTCAGTATTCTATGTACTGTGTGTTCAAGACTGTGGTGAGACAGATCATGCAATGTCCAGTAAGTCCCGCCCCTGTCATGAACTCTTTGGGAGCGTTCTGAATTGCATACCTGTTCTTTTTACCCTTCGTAGGTGCTGTATGTCCTGTTGCATGCAGGATGCATACAGTCAGGGCAGACTACTGTCTCATAACATTACGCCCTGAACTTTGACCTTCTTGCTCATATATCCATTACCTTGAACAACCTGGAGAGCTCTGCTGTTGTAACTCTGTGACGTATGAAGTTTAACTCATAACTGCATACATTGTAGATTCTGACATTATGTTCACAACAGTAAAATTCAATTTGCATTTCCCTACCAGTGCTGTTTACAATTAATACTGTTGTTGTTACGATTTGACTGGGCATCAGTTAGAAGAACATGCTGGTATTTCTGGCATACTGCATTTGACATACTATATTTTGGGACAAACCAAATCTTTTTCTGGCATACTAAATAGTATGGCAGTATGGGTACTGTGTGTGGCTGTAGCTCTTTAGTGACCAAGTTAATGGTAAAAACAAACAAACACAGGAGCTAAATGTTGAGAGCAAAGCAGAAATGAGATGTCGAACACCACGTTGATCAGTTTGTGAGTGCCCTCCAGGACGCTCATTAACTCTCTTAATGAAAAACAACATAACTGTCATTGTCATGTTACTGTGACTGAAATGCTCCATAAAGCTAAACTGCAGAGTCAGGTAAGTATTTCCTGTGGGCTCGTCACCATGAGCAACCTCTTTCATCTAAAATTAAACATTTAATCCATTGTTAAATAAAGAATATGTTGATACAGCAGCTTTAAACTACCAATTTATTTCCAGTAAGTCAAGTGTTTTTACTGTTTTGAATCTGTACATGACTCATATTACAGGTTTAGACCGCTGGTGGAATTTGTTTGTTCTCACAAGGAAAATTAAAATAAAAAACTGATCATTCTTCAGATGTACTTTTCAATTAATTGTTTTTCATATTTAAAAGTTAACATTAGCTGCCACTCATTATATATATATATGTATATATATAATTAATAAGCACAACCTGGGTCTATTGCTCACTGAGTTTAAAAAGTCGGTGCATTTTTCTAACCTCAGTGTCTAAACTCTCTGCACCCAAACACTCATTTTCACTTGCATATGCAGTGAACTGCTGCAGTGTATGCTGTCATATAGGAGAGTCTTGTTGCAGCAAAAGCAAGCTGAGGAGGACAAAACTGCAGATTTCAGTAAGGAAAGGATTTAGCTGTTTTCTTTTCGTTGACAGAAAACCATTAAACTATGTTTGGATCAGCCCGGAGGATCGAGACATCTCTGATAAAGACAGGAGACAAAACACAGACCAGTTTGTTTGGATGCTTGAGCCTTTAATTTTGCATAAGACAAGAAAGAAGAGTTTACTTTGCAGAATATATGTAGATTTGTGCTAAAAGCATTCTTTTCATAACACATTCAGTCTGCTCTCATTAAAGGCACAAGGCCTCAGAGACAGTCCAGCTCCTGTTTATGTCACTTGTCGCTTCATTCCTTCAGTAGCGTTACAGCGATAGCAAAGAAAAACTCAGCTCACATGTGAGACTGAGGGTGTAAAGAAAGATGTATATGAAAGCATGCACACAACACAAGTGTTTGTGCTTTTAATGGGTTCTTCATGTCTCTGTGTCAGATCTGGAATCATCATCTTTCCTTGACACAGACAGACGGTAACTGGTTGGAGCACTGGAGGTCATCCCAGCACTTGTGAGCTGCAAGCAAAAAAACAAAAGAGTTGGTTGAGTCAGTGAATGTGACACAAACAAAGACCTCAGACTGTTGATGTGATCAGTGACTCCTAACTGATTCATCATGAATAATTTTAACAATAAAAACTGAACTTTATTAATTGGAGAGGGCTGCTGTCAGTCAAAGAAAATCTTGGTCAACTAAACTCATCTTATTCTTCAGCCAGCTGATTGGTCGATGGGAAGAAAATCTTCATGTTATCTCTAGATGAACTAAATCTACCTGGCAGTGTTGTGTGTCATCCAAAGCATTTTGAAGCTGCGACCAGCAGCTCTATCTCGCTCTGTCGGTTTCACAAAATGTCTCCACTGTTTGGTGGTCACAGTTTTTGTTCTAGGAGGCTGAAATTCGGTGTGGAGGTCGCAGCTATCGTGAATTCATGCTTGTTTTTTCTGAGGCCAGCGCTGTAATGAGACTCAGGAGTGTTGTGTGTTTACACTCTGCTACAAACCTCAGTGTCATTATGAGGCCCTGAGCGTCTTCACTTTTCTTCACTAAGCCATGCATGTTGCTGTTTTCTGTCTGGTCACAGAGATTTGAAAAATGTTTAACTTTGGGTAAAACGCTGCCCTCGTCACTTTTTACCATGGACTGTAGAAAGAATGGACGTGGCTACATTGACGTCACCCACTTGTTTGTGGTTTTGAAGCCTCATGTTTGACACATCAGCCGTCACCATCTTGGTTTTTTGGAGCCAGAGGTGAACATAGTTGGGCAAGAGGCTGGCGCTGTGTGAGTGAGGGGTACGTGGATCTGACTGAGAGGCCGAGGACGCTATCAGCAGACAGTCTGTCACTCAAAGTGGTCGGCTCTTAATTATGTGGCTATTGCTGGCACAGAGCCATAAAAATGCTTTGGTCGACACACAGTCTTATGACAGTAACACCAGTGACTTTCTGACCAATGAGAATTTGGTGGGTCAAGAGCACATCAACCAACTGACCAGAAGATGTCAGTACGATATATTTCTGAGTTAACTCACTGTATTCCTTCCTATTTTATCATTAGCATCACTGCTACAGTTAGCACTATGTTGTTTTACCTGAGAAATTCATCTGCAGACAATGCTGATTGCCGCCCTGGTTATTAGGCTCTCCACTACACCAGTGGCGGTAGCGGAAAGGTGTGCCATCACTCCAGAACCACTGACCATCCTGGAAGAAAGAGTAGCACAGAACATTACATAAAATAAAAGTGAAAAAATGGGGGAGTGAGGGGTCAAAAAAAGAGAAATTTATAAAAGAAGAATTTAAGAAAAACAAGAATATAAATATGAATAAGAAACTATACAAAGGCAATTAAAGCCAAAATTACAAGACACCTGTGCCCACAGTACCCTGTACATACTGTCTCAAGTGAAGTGACATAGTGGTGTGATTAGTCACTGCAAAGTCACAAAAGTATAGTTCATGTAAGAGTAATGTGATACCATCAACAGTATTATAACAGCATGAACTTGAATATAATATAATTCATCATTAAATAGATATTATATGTATTTGTTGTGCAATATTTCCAAGTTGTGCAATGAAAATACCTCTTCTGCATCAGAGCCTCCAATCCATGCCGGTCTGTGCCTATGAACGGTTTCAAAAATCACCTTCTGAATATCAAAGTCTTGCTGGATGTTGTGAACAGACGCAAGGTTTCCACCCAGGGACAGACAGTTTCTCTGCAGTGGAGACAAACAGAGAGACAGACGGACAGAGAGGAGTTGTCAAGGAAAGTAAGAATTAAGACCCCAGGTCACCAAATGTCCATGTGTATGCAAACAAAATGAGCTTGTTGTAGAAGCCTCCTGAGTCAAAGTCACCAACATTACCTCAGCACTAGCCCAGGTCATTTCTATTGGATTGTAGTGGTAACAGCGACCACCTAACAAAGACCAGCCCGAGGGACAAGCTGTCAATCTCTTGACCAGGCGACTCTCTGTGGAGAACCATTAGAGTTTGGTTAATGTGGGGTCTCCAGGGAAAGTCTCCATACTATATTAAATAGATTCATTTTGATGGCACGAAGAAGCTACAACATAACATAATATTACATGACACAACATAAATATAATAAACGTAAGTTAACATAACACAATATTACGTAACAAGACAAAACATAACAATACATCATCAATTAATATATATGTAATATAATATACAACATAAACATAAAACAGTTGCAACAGAATACAAACATTGGAATACATAACATAGCCCTATATGAGTAATAAAAAGCAATATAATGTAATAGGATATAAAATAAGATAAAGTTACATTAGCATCTGACACAAAGCTTTTATCAGGAGAAACTGCTCATTGACATTAAACACAGGTGAAGTCATCACAGCAGAGCATCATAACAACCACATTCTGTTGAAGTGAAAATCTTAAAGCCACTCACCTGTTTCATTTTGGGGTGTTTCCTCTGGATGAGCTGGAAAGTTTGACACTGCAGTTATTGACTTGGACTGTTTGTGTTTATTAACATGTGTACCGTATGTATTATACTCACCAGCAGCTCTGGTCAGAACCATCATGGCACAAACAAGTGCAGACACAATCAGCATCTTCATGGTGACGATGACTACGAGAGACAGACGTGTTAGTGAGACTTGTTTAGGGAACAGCCGTACTGACTGTCAGTCCTGTGAATAAAAGTCAGAAGATGATAAAGTTTGGTGCAAACCTGCTGCAGGACTTTCTTCTCTTCTTCTCTTTGGAGTGTCTGTAGCTTCAGCGGACCCTGTGAGGATGTGCGGATGAAGATGATGACCAGTTCTTATATACTGTGCAGACAAAGGTTAAAATATTTACCAAAGATGTTGTCTTAATAACTGTCACTCCTTCCTTGGAAATGCTCTCTAAGCTTCAGTGCAACGCCAGCAAACAGATACAAAACAATCAAACAAGTCAGCCACTTGTCATGAGACACCATCATACATCAAAGTGTCAGGGCCATATCCAAGGCTTATTACTGGTTTAGTGGAACAGCTGTAAAATAACTCACAGGAAACAATGACAGTATCATCATATGTCAAATTTACATTCAAATGAAGAACAAATTTTAGCTGAACATCCAAAAAACAGCAAAAAAATAAAAAATGATGAATACAAATTAATGTCCGTTTCCATCCATTAGTGTTGTGTGAATATAAGAAGTTGATTAGTTTGACTCACAGGATGTAGACTGTGGTTATCAGCCTGCCATTAGCTGCATATTTCAGACAGAATTCACCTCACATTCTATTTGCATGTTACTGTTCTCAAAATCCCCATCACTATATGAAACAACAATAACCTCTGAGCTAACAACCTACACACCAGTGACAGCCAAATGAAGCGTCATAAACCATTTTCTTTATTTTCTGAGCTCTGTAGATGGCGCCCTCTTCAACAAAGGGTTGAAAGCACACTGAACTGCAGTCTGAAGTCATCAAATACTGCTGCTTTGTCAGTGATTTCAGCATCAGACGCCGACACCAAAGGCTACCTATAGGGCAGGTGGGAGGGTGGTGGATGAATCCAACAAACCTGCACTTTCTCCCGGGAGGCCAGTGTTTGCCACCTGTTGAGACAAACCTTGATGCTCTTTTTAAACCTAAACATGTGCTTTGGTTGACATCCCCTTTCACAACATCAACAGCAGATGCCAAAGGATACCTAGCTCATAATATGTAGACGTAAAAGTCCACTGACAAAACGCCATACATGAGGATGAGGATGTGTTCCATTTCTTGAATCATGATGACCTGATGAACACAAGCTATATTCACAGAGCTGTCACTTTCTGTTTAAGAGCTCCACCCTGCATTGGAAAAGCCGGTGGTTAAAACAACCAAAAAGCAAACAGAACAACAGCCAAGCATCAGGAGGAAGAAAACACTGAATTTATCAGGAGAGGCCGATAAAGTGTGTATGACTGTAAAAAAACAAACAAACAAAAAACATTGTTACAGACAGGAAAACTCATCCCTGATTTAATATTCACAAACTTCCTGCAGTTATTGTGTTCAGTATTTTGGTTAATTGCACAGTTGTTCTGTTGTTGTTAAACATTGAATATAATAAGAAATATCCATAAATATGTCACTTAGTCAGGGGTGGTTCAGTTTACTCAATGATAGAAAAGAAGTCCCTGATGGAAAAGGTTGGGAACGCCGGGGTTAGATGGCCAAAGCAACTTCTTCTGATTCTGGTTCACAGCCTCCACTTCCTCTACT